GAACGGATACACTGGCAGAGGGTTTCTTTTTCTCCTGAGTGAACACGGAGATTAATTGTCGTAATCCACTGTGAATAGCAGCCACCATAGCAGGAAGCAAGGATAATTTGCGACCTGTAGCCAACTGGACGGCTGGATATAACACTTCCACTGGCATAGAATCAGAGGATTGATGGGGAACTACACACCTTTTCAACCATAAAGCCAAGAAGCCAGCCAACAGAGTGGTGGGATGAATCGGAACACCAGCTTGCCACAGATAAGAACGGAATTTGGTACCATGCGGAAATCCGTCTTCTGAGTGAGAGGTGTAAGATTGGGCGTTCGTTTTCTCTAACAGCCGGTTGATATCACTCGGAGTCAAAGGAGATAACCCGCACACTTCTTCTGAACGATTATCGAGGTTCTTGAACAGATAATCGGCGAATTGTTTCAGGCTGATCTGGGGAGATTTCTTCCTAGCTTTAGTATCCATTTCGGCCACGGCTATATGATAATGACAGGTCAATTCCCATAAAGTGTCGTGGGTCATGGTTGACCGATCTTTCATCTTATTCAGCTGACTTGTAGTTGGGAAGAACTCTTGATATGGAACATCGCCTATAAGCAAACCAGACACCTTCATCATTTCGTGCAGCGGTAACCCGAGCTCCCCGTTCTTGGTGAAGAATGTATTTGTGTCAGGGTTGTAAGTCTCGAACAAACAAAGGAAATGGCCTACACTAATCTGCAGACCAAACATACTGGCACGGATCGGAACTGACAACCCTAACTCTGCCAATTCTCGCCCCCAACGATTCAACACATATCGAGTCATCCTAGTCCACCATTTGTCTCCAAAATAATGAACCCATCCATAGCATCTGAAGTGCTCGCGGGGTAATTTCTTCCTCATTGCAGCTAAACGGTTCTTCACGGTGTTCGCTTGTGTAGCCGTCTCATTCTGAGGTATATTATCCTGGCCTAGGATACCTGGATGAAGTCCTCGTACAGAGGCTCTGTTACTAGAACCCGGGGTAGCTTCCTTCCCAATGAAACCACAGTGGATACGCTCGTGGTTTTCGATCAACCTCCAGAACATTTCACGACCAACGGACAGGTTTCTGAACTTTAAAAGCGAATGCTCTCGAGGAATCCAGGGCAGATATAAGAATGATGACCCGCTTTGATGCAACCACTGTGCAGACCTGCAGGCAACGATCTCCAGATCCTTTACGGAGTCACCAAATAAGAAGTCTGGCTTCCTTATGCACTGGTTCGAGTCTTTCTCTGAAATTAAAGTGGTGTTCGTGATTATCCGTCGCATAATACGACAACTACCTCGCTGAATCAGTTCTCTGGCTCCTTCGCTATAATCTGACTTAAATTGGGGAGCGGATTCGATTAGCGGTAACCCCTCGTAATAAGAGTGGGTAGCACTACTTTGGCCCGTAACAGCATCGGCAGTAAAGATGGTAGAAGGAAATTGGACTGATAAAGAAAAACGTACACATAAATTGTGTAAGAATGGTCCTAAAATTTTAGAGAAAGTGGTATATCTCACTCTATAAGATATAGTCGCTATCTCATAACAGGTGTGACGATTTTCCATCTACCACATGTATAAAGGAGATATGCGTTACTATGCACGTACATTATAACGGCATACCAAAACCTTTCAATACATGTGGGATGATATGAAATCGCCCCTGTATATTCTGAAGTGTGTTTTGTCCAAGCAAAACAAACACTTTTAAGCATCGATCCCCTCTGAAGTGTGTTTTGTCCAAGCAAAACAAACACTTTTAAGCATCGATCCCCTCAAAGGAGGATACCGGCTCTTCTCGAAGGTATCTCAAAGGATACAAACAGCATCGATCCCCTCAAAGGAGGATACCGGCTCTTCTCGAAGGTATCTCAAAGGATACAAACGAGGATCCGCATACAAATACAGATATTTACGTATGAAATTGACGAAATACAGCATGTAAATTTGTGAGAGGGTAAAAGATATATACTCCCATATGAAACAGCAGCGGGACCCGCCTCTTCAGGGGACTGAACAGTCGAACGGCCTCGGGGTGCTCGAGCTCTACGCGGCGACATGATGAAAACACAAGCTACATTGAAACCCAAGGGGAAAGTTAGGGTTTTGAACATAAAACTGGCGAAAAAAATACCACAAATACAAGGGAAAATGCACATGCATGAGAGAACGTCGAAGAAAATCAGATTGTGAAAGAGGAGAGGGTGAACGAACCTATCAAATCTGAGTGAAATCTCCCCAAACAAAAGCCCCACACAAATCAGGAACGAAGAAGAGAAGAAGAGGCGGAGAACTGGTTGAAAATCACTTGAAAATCGCCAAGAAATCACCGAGAAAAATCGCAAGAAATCGACGTGAAAAAGCCCTAAAAAAACCCTAAGTCGGGGTTTTATAGCCCCGACTTCGCTGTGCGAGATAGCTTTCACTGTCTCGCCGTGCGAGACAGTGTTTACTGTCTCGCACCGCATTCTTAAGGATAATCTGACGAACTCTCAAAGGACATACAAGCATCAATCTGGAAATACCAGCTTCAATTCAAGATCTCAACAACGGTCAAGCGATAAACGCAGTGCCGGAGAAGCATTAGCTATTCTACAAAGAACTGAATAGACTAATGGATGAAGGGATCAAGGGCCGAAGCCATTTTACAGATTCTTCTACACGATCTACTCAACCAAGCATTGAAGGGATCGTAAGTAAAATCTATCTTATCCAAAGTATCTCAGACTCTTCTATAAAAGAATGCGTCTGGAATACTTTGGAGGGGGTATCTGTAGGCGTCAAAAAATGCTAATAGATATTCAAACATAGAGAAGATCACTCCAAAAAATCACAAGAATTGATCTCATACTGTTTTGGAAAATCAAGACAGATATGAACTGTCTCGCCAGCGAGACAGTCTTTACTGTCTCGCCAGCGAGACAGTATTAAAATGACCAAAACCACCTTGATAACTGCCCTACACGTGTCCATTAACTGCCAAGAGGCGTGGGAAACATCGTGGGCAAAAATCACATGAATAACTGCCAAAATAACGGAGTTTGAAACGTGGAAAGACGGTTAAAACAAAAACTGCCAGGAATATACCTTTTTCGAGACAGTATTTACTATCTCGCGGGCCGAGACAGCAAACACTGTCTCGCCCGCCG